TATTATTAGAGCCTTTTATTATTAATTTAGAATATCCAAAAATATGTCTACCTATGTATTATTTATTGGTAATACCCGGTATTGCCCGATAAACTCTGAAACTCTTTCGATGACCCTGAAACGCTGCCGGTTCCTATCAAAACTGTTTCAAATATTAACAAAACTATTTCACAAATAAATCATCGTTACTCCCGTCCTCCTAACACTTAGCAGACCGTGATTACCTTAAGATTATTCGGTAAAACATAGACATAAACGGAACCCCTTCGTTCAATGACCGATAGTGGAATGATGGACATCCATAGCAATCTATGTGAATACACGAATGATATTTGAATGAACCTTTGGTTATCATGTGATGTTCCCTTTGCTTCGTGATACTTTACAAAACTCGAGGTGAGATATATCGATATCCTCTTGAGTCATACACATGCTAACTATACTGGTCTCCTCGTTACCGGTTTTGTTCTTCTTTCTCGTTGATGTGTTCCGGTATCCCATGACATTGTCACTTGTGTCTGACCAGACGATGATGGATGCCGTCACACCGAGCGGGCCCTAAGAATATCTCTCCATTGTCGGAGGAGCAAATTCCACTCTCGAGCTATCTAGTCCCTTGTGAAACTTTCCGATGAACCTGTAAGTTGTCGTTATGATCACCTAGTTACAGATGACATTTGAGCAACCCCAAAGTTCAACATATGGTAAAAGTAACTCCGATACTCTCATGATCTAAGGAACCAAATCATACGTTAACACTCCGTGTTACAACAATTGCTGCCTTTTGACAATATTATTTCAAAGTATAACAGTCAAGTTTGGATCGATTCAATATGTTGTTCTTCTAACATCATACTCTAAATGTTGTTTTGAGACTATCGTTACACTTAACGATATCTCAAGACCCGAAAAAACATGATCACAAACATCACTTGAGCTAGTCTTAGAGGTGAGACTAGAAATCTTATTTTACCGTTTATCAATCCACACGTGAATATGATTTTTTTTCATTGAACTGCATATTTCAGGATCATAGCAGTTATAGCATAGAATATAAACTCTTAATTATGAATAGAGAAATATAATAATACCCCCTATGTTCCTAAATATAAGTCTTTTTAGAGATTCCAATGCAGACTACATACAGAGCAAAATGAGTGAATCTACACTCTAAAATATGTCTATATATACATCTGTATGTAGTTCTTATTGAAATCTATAGAAAGACTTATATTGAGGAACAGAGAGAGAGTACAATATTATTGCCTCTAGGGTATATTTCCAACAACTTTCGGTACAATCGGTCCACGTGTCAGGCCTATTACTCAGCAGCTGAACAATGGCAGTGGCATGGAGAGTGTATTAGAACTATCCATGGAACAATTACAAAGGGAAACACCATGTACTATCCTAGTATTTCCCTGGTTGGGTTTCTCTACAAGCCACAAGTCATATGCATGGAGCCCTTCGTTTCATTTTATGCAGTACGTGCTCAAGGGAATGTGTAGCTGAAGCTACCCTGACCATCATTTTCATGCATCTACAGAGCAGTTCAGTTTGGAGATGATCCTTCCCTTGAAACCTTGTTTTCTAGCACTTGTCTCATGGACAAGCGCATTGGGCTGCCTGAATATTATGCGCAAGTTCCATTGAGGCAAGCTCCTAAGGACTGTGCATTCTTGTTCCAATTGAATCAGCAGCCCGACCTTGCATATTTGGGAATGGCAGACTCCTGTCAAAATAATGTGTGTGATTATACTGCGCATATAATTGATTCAGTACAACGCAACGCTTGGTATTGAGTATCTCAGCAGTTATAAGGGCTGGTGCATGGTTCAACTCGAGATACAATGAAATGAATCGTGGGCCAACTGATACTAAAACACTTGCAAAGTTTCAGCTGGGCAGAGTTGAATGGAATTCTTTGCAGTGGATTGGTAATTTCTGAAGCAACACAGACAAAGCAAGCGGTCAGGGTCGGCAATCTTATGCATACTATATATTGCAACTGACGGCAGGAACTATCTATTTTACCCATTGGCATGTCATTGATGAACCTTGCACAATGCATGAGTGCGACTTTGGTGATTCGGTCTCATCCTGTAATGGAATTTCATGCACCAAAGATTTGGTGGTTGTGCACTACCATGATCAACTAATCAAAGTGAGGCAAAGACTCACATTGGTCACTAAACTATATTGACGGGAAACAGGCATTTTCACTACACGCCGAGTGTATATAGCACGTATTGACCGGGCTCATTGGTCGCTAAATAGGCATTTTCACTACACACTTTACTGTTTGTCTCTTTGGAGTTCAAGATTTGGCGCTGCACCCAACAGTTGGTGTGTGGAATTTTTATGCGCTGGGTCAGTCGTCAGTCAACTCATATGGACTCTCACAGTTCTCGTCTGAGACCGCTGCGCTGACCTGTCGGATGGGGCATTTTGCTGTTACTGCTACCTGCCGATCGAGCTGGCGTGGCGCGGGGCACCGTGGACCGAACGAACACTGCTAACTCCTTTAAATCCAGACGTGCATGGCCGAGGCAAGTATACTTAAACCTGGGAATGGTTTGGACTCAAACTGAAGTTTCAGTTCGGTTTTCCCATTGGCTTGCTTTGGGTTGGATTAAATGGGCTGAGCACCTGTGGTAGTTTGGTCTAGTGTGGGCTTTAGCAATTATACTAGATTGGCTTGGTTTGGTCTGGACAGAGACTGAACGGTCGCAACCCGTTTCAATCCATACACAAAAACTGGATCGAGTGACCAATTCAACTGTACCTCTGCACGAGACCAGCGATTCCATCAGCCTCGCGCTGGTTAGAGAGCATCTACAATCGGAGTTCGCAAATATGGCTCATTAAATGTCCGCGAACGCGTCTGGACATGTCCGCGGACAGTCACTGAGGCATGCCTCAAATTTCAGTAGTTGCATCCGGATATCTCATACTAGATTCTTAAATTCATACAAGGACATGCAAACAAAATAAATCTACATACTACATCGATCACCTAACTACTCATTGTCAGAGATATCGACTATCCAAGTGCCCGGCTCCGGCAGCATGGGCGATAACTGCAGCTCCAGCTCCTCCGACGCGTCCGCTACGGCCTCCTCCTCCTCCATCTTCACGTCCAGTTCGGCGAAAAGCGCGTCGAACGCCGCCTACTCCTGACGGAGGAACGCCCAGTTGGCCTCCACATAGGCTTCATCTGCTGCCCCGTCATCTCCTCCGCTCGGGTGACCGCCTCCGCCTGCTCCTCCTCCTCCACCTCCTCGGAGCCAGCTCCTGTCACTCCTCTTCCCCCGGCTGCTCCACCTCCTCGGAGCCAGCTCCTATCACTCCTCTTCCCCCGGCTGCTCCGCCTCCTCCACCTCCATCGAAGCCAGCTCCTTTCCCTCCTCTTCCCCCGGCT